ATTTGTTCGCGGGATCTTTCAGCTTCTAAAACGCATCGTTGAGATATTTATTCAAGTATCAGATGTTTTTAGACGATCGTGGATCAGTCCGTGAATTTTTGCTCGTAAACGTTCGCTAACGAATGTACCATGCAAAGTTCAAACGGATATATTTACTGGCAGCGTGCACCACGAGGTTGATTTTATGGTCGAGAAAGCACGCGCGCGACACAAAAGGTTTACTCTCTTCCGAGGGTAGTTTAGTTCGTCATTTTCTTCGTGAAAATCAATATACCGGCGACCAATGAGCGGCGAGCCTCCGATGGTTTCCATGCATCTCGGGTTTAGGGAACGATTTGACAGTCGTTGCACGCGAAATACGTTCAAACACGCGTCGAACAAAGTACTTTCCATCTTGATATTTGGCCAATGGTACGCGTGTTCTGTTTATCGGTAAAGTGCCATTTTCGCGCCAAGAAGAAAGTCTTTTCTCCGCGTTCGTTTCGATATTTCCTTTTGCTCTAAACGTGCACCGATTGCAAACGCTCGTTTGAAATCGTTTCAAGTTATTGGAACGAAAAAAAAAGCTACGGCTGCGAACAAACGCTCAGACTGGAACGATATTTTCTTTCGGAAAATGAGTGGATAGGCGCTCGGAGCAACAAGCATAAGAGACTCTCGCGATAGGTTTGCTATATCGGCTGGAAACAGATGATTATACAATGCAAGTTCTTCTGATGGGTTGATCGTTGTCACCGATCCGAGACGGATGGCGATTCGTAATTAACTGGTACCATTAATTAACCAGCTAATTATCCGAACGTCGCTGACCTTGATCGATTCGAGTGTTCCTCTCGAACAGTTCATCGCCGAATGTTGTTAAAGATTTGCTCATAAAGCTTGCAAACGAACCGATCGAGGCTTATGGAACTGATAAATAATCATGCTTCGTGATCTATAGATCTCTCTGTTTATTTAACAAGGAACGAGCTGTTATGACTCACGGGATGTCATTGTCTCGTTTATACCGAAATAGTTCCTTCGTGGCTCTGGAAACCGTGTAGATATAGTTAACCAGCGTGCAGTCAACTTCTGCTTGAAATAATCGCAGGTACTGTTACCAGCTAGGCAAGTCGAAAAGACTAGGGATTTATTCGCTCCGGCGATCTAATGGCGCTGCCATTCCGGCAGGCGAAACTATGAAATAACCTGCTCGATGCACGCGTTTCTCTCCGTTATTTTTTTTTTTTCTTTTTTTTTCCGGAGTTAATAAAGAGAATATCGGTAAGGATTTCTCTTGCGAGAAAATTGTTGGGAAGACGTTATAACGGCCCTCATGGACCGAAATATCAGATACACGATGAAGGAACGATAAGCTTCAACGACCCTGTAGAAAAAGAATTGCTTTCTCTTTTGATCACCGTCCGTCGACAAGAAGCCGACGAGGAGGAGGCGATGTCCTCGCTCGCAGTCGAAAAAGCATCGAGTGTGACGGGTTACTGTTATCCCAGCTTGCATGCCGTTGTTTGCTCATTCCGTGTCTTATTTGTAACTGGCAGTACACGCCGCGTGCAAAAAAAACACGAACCACTTTTTCGTGATATAACCGATCTGATTCACAATGGTCGCGTGCCACTGATGTATCATTGCCAAAGCCTTTTGTGCTGTCAAATGTTTGAACTCGATCCATTTCCCGTTTGATGCGACCATTTAATAGTTTGTTAGTTTAGCCTTATCGAATCGACTGACGATGTTGCGATTGTTTCAGCATCGAATACAATTTGACGACACAGCTACACGTACCTTCGAATATCCGAGCGAGGCGTCGATGCTGGAGGGCGAGAGCAGCGTGGATGGCGAAACTTCCGGTTCCGTCGAGCAATCAACTCTGATCAGCAATAAAACGTCCTCGACCAATTCGACGACCAGTATGCCGACCCTACTCGGTAATTTTAATCGTTACTTCTTGTTACTACGAGCCTGCGTTGCAGTCGGATTTACCTCCTTTCCCTTTATATTTTTACTAGATAGAAACTAATCGATCGTTTTCTCGAGTACGCCGTTTCTCGACTAACTGTTTGTCTCGTTGTTTCCGATTTTTTTCCAGAGGCGACGTTCACGCACCACGTTATATCCCCTGTGAACAGCTGCAGAGAATTGCAATTCCTTTTAAATGTCGACCCTGTGAAAGAGTCTCTAGTATAAATTAACTTTTAGACGACAGTTCTCCGTTATATACGTTTAGTAGAATTTCCATGTCTCTTGCTCGTTGCTGTTACCTTCGAAATATATTCGTTAGTCCTTTTCGCCTCTTTGTATGTTGCACTTTGTATTTTTTTTTTTTTTTCTTCTCTCTTGTCCAATTCACCTACGCAGCGTGTAGTGTGTTGAAAGCTAGTGCTTATTCCCCGCAGGTAGTGGTGGTGGCGGCCTAGCCAGTTACACTCCTAGCAAGGTGGACCTGACATCCGAAGGGTTCGAGCTGGGCGTGACCAGAGCCATGTCGTCGAGTCCGCAGGCGAATTCCACATCAACATCGTCGTCGACGCCAACGACCACCACGTCGAGCCAAGCTGGGAACGAAAGCGAAGTAAATTATCTGAGACCAGCTCAAGATGCGGGCGCATGGGGCTCCGAAACAACCGGTGACCTTCTCTACTGACACGACTGAAAAACTCGAAGACCAGAAAGAAACGCGTGAAGCGAAGAAATCGCTGGAAGCTCAAAGCTGTTGGAGAAGAAGCAAGGAATTTCAAAAATTCCGACTACTCAGAAGACTAATCGCGAAGTATTTTTCTTTCCTTTTTTTTCGTAGACAGCCTCGAGGAAGAGAGAGTCTTTTACAATAAAGAAGCATATTATGAACAAAGAAGAGAAAAATGTCGCTGGTTTCTTTGTTGTACGCTCTAAATCGAGCGGCCCAAACGTGACGATTGCTCACCGTATGATCATAAGTAAACTAACTTTTCGAGAAATGCATCACGCGACGCGTTCACGATCGGAACGAGTCTCGCGTATGTCAGTTCACTGTCGTCAGAACTGCGTACAATACTTTTTTTCTCTCTGTCTCTCTCTCTCTCTCTCTGACACGATGGAATACGAATCAAAAGAATGTAAATGTTCGTTCGCGAACGCGTCGAAGCAGAGGCAATCCTTTTCTTAGATAATTAAGCGAAAAGACAGTATCATTCCAAGTATATGCATTTACTTTGTATTATTTACGATAATGAAGCGAACAGACTTTTTTCCTAAGTAACGTGTAACTAAAACTGCCAAGATATGTCAGTGCTTTTCTTTTTTTGATAGCACTTTAAACGGAGGAGCCCAGTGATCGATGAAAAACGAAAGAAAAAAAAAGAGGGAAAAGGAGCATATCACCTTTTTGGCACATTTTTATAACAAACAGAGAGAAGTCGACGATGGAACTGAACATTTTGTAACCTTTTTGAGATTACTTCAATGCTGAGCCGTTTAACGTTCAAGCTGCCAATCAAAGGCCAGAATTTTATGCAGGATTTTAAGAAAAGGAAAAAAAAAGAAAAAAACGATCAAATGCGAAAAAAAAGAATCGTTTGCAAAAAAGAAAATATTCGAGTTTAGATTTTTGTAAAAGGTTTAGCCAAAGTAGAATATAAGTCTACTGAATATACTTAATATATCTGTACAATAAGTCGAAATTTTGGTCCAGGAATAACATTGCAATTGTAAATTCCGAGAAATTTGTTATTTATATTAAATGTATGTTAAAATCATACTGATATCTCTTACAAATGCTCAAGATAAGATGATAGATACATGTACGATATTTGTTTTGTTGAATTTTTTTTTTTT